TAATTGGCAACATTTTACTTCTGTGTTTTCTGTCCCATTTGTTTTAAATGAACATTTGTTGAGCTCATTAGAGATGCTGGAATCAGTGTATGGGCACAGTTTTCATTGTATTCTTCTCATCCTAGTGCCTCTTGGCTTCGAGGACAAGATTATATGGAACTAGCAAATAGCTTGGAAGAAATATACATGTAAGTAAGGGCGGGTGGAAGATGTTTAAAGGAGACAGTAGATTTCCGGTTTCATGACATGCTCTGTGTGTGCTTCTAAGTACCCATATTAGCGGTTACAAAATGATTGTTGCAACAGCCATACAAAAGTAGGTTTCTTTTATAAATCAAGCAGTCAAATATGCTGTATATTTACTATACTTGGCATTTTGTAACAACTAATTATCTTAAAGCCTATGATTTATTTCTTTTTGGCTGTTTAGACCTGCTATTCTTTGTGGATAAAATTCTTAATTTTGCCTCCTAATCTGTGATTGTTTAGAATTCTTGAGATTCTTAAAGAATTTTGTGCTATGAAATGCAAAATTTCTGCATCTGTTCTGTATTTGAATATTAAACTGTAAGATGTGAGAATATTTGTTGATATCTTAGAGAAAATAGGCAAAACAAAATTATTAACAAAATTTCAGATAAGGGATGAGTAGGCTTTTAAAGTAAATTAAACCATGTGAAGAATTCATTAACTATAAAGTAATTGAGAGAGTTTATTGTCACAGCATGCAGCTAACTTAGCAGTGCTCATAACACATGAGAATAAACATAACATTTAGAAATACTCCAATTACATGGTTTTGTAGTACTGTATACTATAGAAATTGTAATAGTTTATTTAATCCTTTTTGATGCCCAGATAATGTAGACTGAACAAAACTGAAATATGTAATAAGCAAAAATGGTTATGCCTAAAATGCTGAAATCTGGGCGTAAGAAAAGCATTGCTTTTTAATGGCATGCAACAAGGAAGGCAGTACTCTAGTCTGCATGAGAGTTTTTATCTTAGGTCACTGAGTTAATTAAACAGCAGATAATTTAAGCAAATAAAATAGCAGTGTTAAAAATAGAAGAGGACACTCAGTAAAAGTTATATGAGATCATATTAATCACAAATATTCAATGGTGCAGAAGAAGCAGAGGTTGACCTTAATTCTCTGTCCAGGTACTTGAGTTGTGGGAGACTCTACCAAAAGTAGAGCTGCTGCAGGTTGTTCATATACTTTGTCCTTAGCATCTGGAGCAATTTGCCCCATGACACTGCAAAGAGGAAGAGTGTGCTTCCAAGGCCTTGTAATTGGGGCAGTTTTACAGTTGGTTAAGTTACGTTGCTCGAGTCAGTCCCTGGGAGCTGAGTTTTGTCTATATCAATTGCCATTCAGAAGCCTTTCTGCTCTCTTGTCATTTTTAGTTGGGCAGCAGAAAGGGAATGTGTTTCTACTTTAGGCCATATGTGTGGTTATAGACTGTTTCAGACAGTGATCTCCAATGTAATGTAACACTAACTCAGGTTAACCTAAGTGCTCTGCCCCTGCAGTAGCAACTGATGTGCACAGTATTTCTAAAAAGCCTTTGATCTGACACAAACTCCGTGTAATTATCTGAGTAATTATCAGGTAAACACAGTGCATGGTTTGCAGGTGTTTTTCTTAGCAGTTGTTTGTGACTTACTTTGCTTCTAAGCCCCGATTGTCTAAACTGCTTACTTTTGCAATCTAAAACAATTTGAACTGTACTGTTAGTTATTACTCTTCATAATAAGATGGGAAAAGCAGATAATGGCAGATCACAAGTCAATTTGGGGAGACTCAAAGCACTTAAAAATGCAAGAGATACTTGGATTTTTTTTTGGACACTGACAAGTAAAAATTTTATTCACACAATACAGCTTTTTTTCAGGACTTAGATACCTAAGTGGTAAGTTTTTTTTTTTTTTTTTTTTTAAAGGTAAAAGTTGAAATTGAGTTATAACTGTAGATATTGCTATTAACTTGCTCCAAGCAGAAAAGTCAGATTGATCTGTCTCATTCCAAAGAATTTCCTAATAACAACTTCATATTAAGAAATATGCTATGAGATGGGAAATGGTAAATATATTTCAGAGGACTGTGTTGCTCCATTTTTGAATCTATAGTTAAAATGTCATAATTAAAACAAATGTAGTTGTTTGTGTATTGAAATGGTGCTTCTATATGAAAAGCAGTGGCATGGATTTATTCTAGAATCTGTCCAAATTTTGAGAGTCCTGCAAGTTTATAACATCTTTATAAGTTCATTGAATATTTTTATTGAAATATGTGTATGTTTAAATTTCTGATTTTGTTCATCAATAGTATTGAGCACAATTAGCAAAGTCAGAATTTAAAAATGTAATTTTGTCACTGATGTGTACTTATGTTTTGCCCCAGATGGTGGCAGTAAATATAAAATTATTAATGAGAAAATGCGAGTTACCTAAGGCTCTAAATCTTCAGTTTTGGTTTGGAGATAGACGTGCATAGCTCATATCAAAATACTCTGAAGATTCCTTTTTAAAGCACTGTTTTAAATATTTTTGGGGGGTTGTTTGGTTGCCACTGTGCTTGAAGGCAACAATACTTAACTCTGAATGTACAAGTAAAAAACATACTTCTCACTGGCGCCACCTAACTAAGGACTCCCAGACCTAAATCCTTACGGCTCCTCCCCTCCTACAGGCCTGCTTTGCACCCAAACTCCAGCGCATCTGTCCAGTTTGGGCTGCTCCACTTGTACTCCCACTGCCCTAATATGCAGTCCCTCAAACTTAACCCTACATGTCAGTGTGCTGAGCACCGGCATGGGAAGGGAAGGGGCACCTTTGCCAGGAAAAAGCTTTGCAAACTCAAAGGCCAAGACTCTCCTGCAGCTGCAAGGTGGTTGAAGCAGCTCATCACTGGCAGTGCAGTGCTTTGTTATATAGAATAGCTGACTAAAGAAAGCTCTAAGGCCAGGCACTCTGGCTTAGGATTCTTTCAAAAAGTCACTCATTAAGGGAGACTGCACAGCTTACCCTTTTCTCCGTTGCTTTCACTTTCCCTGTGGCCACTTTTTATCAGTTGCCTATTTTCCTCCATCACTGGTGACAAAAACAGTGTATAATGATGCAGTTTCACACAGTGAGCTGCCTAAATAAATGATTAAACAAGCCTGTCAAAGCTCTTTATCACCCTAGGCTGTATGTGCTATTTTTACATGTCTGAAATCTGCATGTTATTTAATGTTTTTAATTACACTTTCCAAGTGAAATGTGCAAAAAAAAAAAAGGGTTCTTATTCATTGTGAATTTTAAACAACTTCTAGACAGAACCTTGGTGAAAGTATTCTTTATTTATGGGTGGAGAAGATACGAGAAGTTCTGATAGAAAAGGCACAGTCATCAGATCAGATCCAGGTACTTAAGAAAATTGTTTGTTTCTGTTTACTTTTTTTAAAAAACTGCAAAGTAAGAGTTCACTGTGACTTAAAGCTTTATGTCCTGTTTTGTATTGGATCTAGATAAAAGAGCAGTCTCTAATTTTTTATGACTTATTGTTTTAACACAATGATTTTCCTTTTCTAAAAAACAATAAGAGAAAGAGATGGAGGGTGTCAATGAACTGGAACAAGGACCTCAGTTCTCTTAGCAATTGAATTACTTCAGTGATATCAGGGATAGCAGGGATAGCAGGAAAAAGGCAGGGTAGGGTATGCAGGAAAAGGTGTCGTGCATTTTCCTCCATCCTGCATAGGAATAGCAATAGTTAACTGGTGGTGTTGAATGCATTCTTGGAAAATTGGGAGTAGCCTGAAGAGAAGACAAAATTCAGTTGAATATGCAGACAAATGATCTTATTTGATCTCAATCCCATTATGCTATATTGGGATGAAAATGTATGCAATCACTAGAGTTGCAGTGATTATTTGATTTTTCTGCCCTTGCAAAGAGGTGCATTCTGTTGCTTACAATGACAGAATTTGTGTAAAGTCATAGTTCTTTTGAAGAGCTGTTTTTCTTTTGCTAATCTGCTGTTAAAAGCATGAGAGACATACATACATCTCTCGTGCACTTGTGGCAAAAGAAAACAACTTCGGCTTACTTCTGTGAGGAGTAAACAACTGAAGAGAAAAAAATGTAGGGCTAATTTTAGTCTTTCAGTAAACTGCATTTTGGTGCTACATCAAAATAAATATTTCTCATTGGCATCGCTGAAGGAAGGGGTAGTGAAAAGCGAGTTTCAAGGTCATTATTGAAAATTTATTGCGTATTTGGACTTTATGGCTTCTACTTCAACTATCTTTTTTCTAGATCTTTTTAGCATGCTATATCACACCTTTTTATTGGAAAACACCTGAGTTAAACCCATCATAGGACCTCTAAATGGGTATTTAGATTGTGATAAACTAACTGGTCTATATGGTAGACTCCCCCTAAATCCAGTTGCTTGAGTGATGAAAGTGTGTTGTTTATGCTTTTGCTATTGACTGCTATTTTCCATATGTCATTTGCATGAGGACAAATAGATTGTAAGACTCCCAGAGCAGTTGAAAAATGTCCAGAGAGATGTTTCAAATTTAATGACTTTATAACCTCATTAAGTAGTATTGTACTATAGCTTTACACTTTTCCAAAAGTGACCAATAAATGACTAAACCTCTCCGATTTGAGACTATTTTGGTTTCTAAATTCAGACTAGATTAACAGTAGCATTGTAAATATTTAATTTTCTTTTCACCTTAAAAATAGTGTAAAAGTGGAAGGTATTATGTAATCAATTGTACACAGATCCCATATCATGAGTGTTCTGTTCTAATTTTAGGCAAGATTTTAGCTAATACTGGACTAAATATTTATGATTTGTCTGTAATTAATATTATTATTTTACATTTTGTAATTTGAAGAAAAACATCTGGAAGTGTTTTGTTAATTATCTTCTGTTAGCAGAACCAGATAATAAGAAAACCAGTGAAGAAGTTGATGAAGATAATGAAGATGATTTTCTCCTGGACTACCAGCCAGTTGAGGAAGAATCAGTTAAAATGTTAAATTTTATTACATCTGAAAGCCAAGAAGGTAAAAATATCTCCTTGCTAATTCTGATGAAATAGTTTAGAAGAGAGAGAGACCTTAAGTTTCTGTTTTTTGCTTGGCTTTGAGTAATGCAAATTAATAATATTGAAAATTACAATAAAGTTTAATGCCTTACAAAAATATATATTTATAATATATATATATATTAGTACCCTGAATAGATAGTTATATAAACCCTGTAATATATATTAGTACCCTAAAAAGAAACATTTCCTTGTTTGCATTCTGTAGACGAAGAACTGCCATTGATACAACATGGAAACCCAATCACAGACCGAAGAAGCACCTTCCAGGCACATTTGGCTCCTGTGGTGACCCCAAAACAAGTTAGTAGAGATTGAGGAACAGACTCTTAAGAGTTTTTTTTGTCTGTACGTGTCAAAACACTGCTGAAATATTGGTATTAGCTATTTATTTGTTTTGTGTTATCTGTGTATGCTAATATTGTCTGAGTACTCATCAGCTTTTAGCTTTCATTATCACCTTCAGCTAAATAATTGCTTTGCAATTCTTCCCAGTAGTCCTCCAGTTCTATTGCTGAAGAGAGTCAATGTTGCTTTTTCTTTCTGTTAAGTGCCTTAGATGTAAGAGAGAGTAAAAGAACACTGATATTTGCCTTTTGGAGCTTGAGAGTTTGCATTATGATATTTGAAAGGTACTGAGTCTGCCGTATGCTGCTTGGAAAATGAAATAAATGATATTATAAATCTTTTTCCCAGAAAGAGATTCTATAGAAAAGTAAACCTGGTTAAAGCAAATCTTCATCTAGAATTAATTGAGAGGGATAAGCATGGTTATACAGTTGTATTTGTGTGCAATTAGTGTGTGCACCAGCTCCCATCAATCAGTGCAGCTGTGCCTGATATAGGCAAGCAGTGGATGTATTCCCAGGTAGGCTGGCCATATTTTGTTTTCCAGCATCCATCCCGACTTTCAGCAATTTAACACATTTTTCTGCGTTCATTTTGTCAGCTTGTGCTGAAACCTAGCTTTGTGATAAGTCGCCACTGTTATGATCCTTGTCTTACTGTTTAAATTCACAAACGCTATGCAACCACAGTACTGCTATGCAACCACAGTACTGCTATGCAACAACTGTGCTACAGCTGTATCTTTGAGTCTTTTTTTTTATATTTTTATATTATGTGTTGACAGAAAGGTCTTCTGGTAGGCTTCTGTTCTTTATGTGTTTGAAAAACTATTATTATTACTTTCATTTTTACACTTCCAAAACTTTGACTTGCCTCGTGATGCTTTTCACATCTGTCTTGCCATCTGTACCTTCTTGTCATGTTTATCTTTATTTGGACATAATTTTAGCTTTGCGAACCCAGCTTCTTTTTTTTTTTTTTTTTGAACTGTTCTCTTACTGTTTGTAAAGTGATAGTAATTATGTTTCTGGGCTTACTGAGAGTTTTAGAGCACTCCATTATAGCTTTTGTTAAAGTAGCACTGAACCTCAAAAGTTTTCTTAGCTGTTCCTATGAACAGTGTTGCTTCAGAAAGAGAGGAGATCAGAATAATTGGTCTAATTTCCTTTTCTTTTTCTCTAATATTGTCACTCATTAGTGATGATTTATGAGTAAGACCCTACTTAAAGGGGGTCCAAACCAGCAGACATGCATTTCCAAAAGGCATGGTATTTACTTAAAACAGGAAAGTAATTTTACATACAAAGACATTATTACTTTTTTTTATGACTTCTCTTTAAAGATCACATAACTGAATAGACCTGGAAATTTCAGGTCAAAACTTTTTGATGTATGGTGAGTATAAAGGGAGAGCAATCCCCCAAGGGACAAATCCATTGTTTTTTTTTCACTGAGTCTTGCTACACAGTGAGACTTGATCAATCTCCAGACAGCAGTTTTACTTTGGTATGGATTCATTTTTCTGAAAGCAAGCCAAGAGATATGCAGGGTGGGATAAGTATTGCACTTGTAATAAAAGCCAGGTTCTTGATCAACTGTGATATGATCAGTGCGTGCCCATAATGCTTCATCTGCATCATCTGTATGTTGCTGTGATTGTTTTAATACAGTACATACAGTATATAGATTGCTGTGTAAGCTCTTTTATTGAGTATTTTTATACTGGTATCTCACTTTTTCTGTTGTTTTCAATGACAGCCAGACTAGTACTGTAGTTGTTTATGTAACAGAATAAGCTACCGTAAACCATATGGAAAAGGAAAGCAATAGACATATTTCATGTAGCAAGCTGCATTTAGTACCATTGCTTTTCTTTGTTGCCTTTTGGCTCGTTCTAGTGCTTAAAAAATACATCGCTGTTGGACTTAACATTGATTTTGTTAAATGGTGCATAGAACTGACCTGTTGTTTAAGGATCTTTTGTGTCTTTTATGAGCAGGTGCCTGACTCATGTAGAGAATTTACATCTCTTAATTTTGAGACTTTATTGTTCAGATAATCTGAAAGAGAACAGTAATAGAAGGGAGAAACAGGGAAAAGACGGCTAAAGAGCTGCAGCGTCGAGAAGGGTATGCTACTGTCTAGCTGTAAGGCACCTCTGTCAGAGGTTCCTTGCTAATACGGACATGTAATGCATCTTTAAGACGTTTTTAGGACCTGACAGATAACTAATGTCAGAGGTGGTGATCATTTCATAGGCTTTGTATCCTAAACACATTTACTATTTCTTTTATGAGTGTGTATTAAGTAATATAAGTTGTCTTCAGTATGCCCTTTAGGGGGAAAAAAAAGAAAATAGTGTCTGAGGCAATGTTCTCATTAATAATATAAATTTTTCGTTGAGGTATCTTATATTTGAGGTAATTTTTGTAAGTTTTTATTTGAATTTCTTCCAGAAGAATTGGAAATGGCACAGTATAACTAAAACAAATATTAAGTATGCATATTGATTACTCCACAGAGACATTTTTCTCTTGAATGGAAAGCAATTTGTTTGCCTGGCATGTTTGCCCAAACTTTCTCAACTTCGGTAATGCTTTGCTCAAAGTAATATCAATTATGTATGATCTATTAAAACAATGCCTTGACCAAAGCTCTCTTCTTTGCTAGACCCAGCTGATAAGGGTTGAGCAATTGCTATCTTGTTTAATTAGAAACCAGAGATGAACTAATATTGATGTGGTGGGAATATCTGTTGTCGGGAAATGCTGACGCTTTCTGACCTTTACAGAGAATTTAAAGAGAATTGTTGTGAAATGGAAACACTGAAAAAGTTGGTTTGAGAAAGCTCTAAAAGTGAAACAGCAAAATTTTCTTAACCTTTCATGGTTTTGTGGCATTGGAAAAAGCAGTATGTAACGCGTATACTGTCAAGTTGTGTCATATTATTCCAGCGTAAGGTTGTTTTTGAAATAAGCAGTAAGGTGCAATTCATGTTTAATATTGATTTGAAACTGTTTTCTAGATCTTGCTGCCTCTCCTGTTTTATGAAATGGATTGGTGCTTTTACATATTAGGCATTAGCATGAATTAAGCACACAATGTACAAATTCAAGGAACAGCTGTTTTCAATATCCCAGAAAAAGAATTTAAAACTAGCTTTAGGGTACTGATAAGATGTTCCTTGAGTTAGTATTTTAAATATTTATTTTATTGCTAAATATGTCAAAGTTTAAAACTGTTTCATTTTGTTATTAAAAAGAAGGCATTTGTTTAGCACTTCAGCTGAGAGGGTGCTTACAAAAAATTGTAAAAGTAAATTTATTTCTGTTTTCTCTTTGAAGGTAAAGAGAGTTCTTGAAAAATTATATGAGAATAAGAAAATTGCAAGTGCTACCCACAACATATATGCATACAGGTGAGAGCTGAATAGTGATTTTTCAGTGATTTGTTTTTTGACAAAAAAAATAAAATAAAATGAATAAAATCCATTAAAGAAGTTCTTTGCTAATAAATCTGTGCAGAAATAGGGTTCTTATTCCTATGTTAAAGATTTTAGGCTTTATTTTTAATTTGAGATTAAGAAAGTAAAACATATAGTAAAAGATTTTTAGGATAGTGAAGTAGTGTCACTAATAAAAAGGAAGACTGGATTTAAACACATTGTTATACTTTCTTTAGGATGTGTGAGCATGTGTGAGGATGTGTGAGCATGGAAATGCTAAATCATCTCAAAATAAATATTTTTCTTTTTAATGTGAGCAAAATCACTTTTTATTCCTGAGCTTATATTTAGAAACAACCAAAAAGAGATAAAATTGAAAGCCTGAAGCACACATCTGGCATATGAAATTTCTGCAAAAATTGAAATTTTGGGAAAAATGAGGAATAGGTTTTGCAGCAGCCCATCTCTAGCAACTTTTGCAAACACAGAGTATGTGAAATGAATGGGTCTGAGTCCATGTAGAGCGATGCAGGTTTTCTGAAGAGCCTAGCCCACGATGGGGCCAGTGAATGGGAAAGGAGCCCATTCACTGCTAGAGGAACCAGTCATCTGAAACAGCACAGTGGAGACCAGTCCATTTAGTCAGACCTTGGCATACTGCTAGTGACACATGAGAATTGGAACAACTGAGAGCTTTCTTCCCCAACAAGGCTCCTCAAGTTAAGGTTTCTTTAAAAAGGATTTCTTTTGTCACTACTGCTATTCTGACTACTTCTGGTCATGCCATCTAAACAGACTTTAAAAAGTACCAGAGACATTCTTGTTCCTTCATATTTTTCATCTGGTCACCTGTAAATGGGAAGTTATGACATCAATGGGGGTAACAACAGTAGATGTCTGTGAGAATTGGTTTTGGAAAATTAGATCTGGACTGCATTCCTTTGTATGAAAAACAAGAGACTCCAGAGGCTTCTGGAGTGCTCCCTGCATAAACCTTTATCTGTGCCACAGCTTTGTTCTGGAGGAGGGCTCAGTAGATGGCATGGAGAATCTGAAGCTGAATTTCAGTAATAGTTTCACATTGAAATCCAGACTTAACTAATTATTAATAGTAGTTTTGTCATAGTTCTTCCAAATTCATTCCTACACCATAATTCATACTTATTCTGATAGACTTTGTTTCAGCTAGGCTTAGGGCTTATAACCAGAGGGCTTTCTTAATAGGGACTTTGCACTGATAATGGATTATGAGTTAATTTGAGGTAGTCAGAATTTGTAACTCATATTATTCTGTACAGATAAATATTCGTGGTTTACACTAAGCCTCATCCTATTTTCATGTAAGTGCCCTTAGGTGCGTCTTTAGGAAAGATTTCTGAGACTTCAGTAATCATGTGAAAATGTTAATCCATTCTATTCTCTCTCTCTCTTTTTTTTTTTTTTTAAAGAATATACTGTGAAGATAAGCAGACCTTCTTACAGGATTGTGAAGATGATGGGGAGACAGCGGCAGGAGGACGTCTTCTTCATCTTATGCAGGTTATAGGAATTAAACTTAGGGCTTCTGGCATTGTTTAATTCTTGTTCTGCTCTTAGTCCAATCGATGGTTGCTTTCTTGGACATGAAAGAGAAGTATAGTGCTGCATGCATATAAAAAATACATAGTTTTCCACTCTTTGATCATAAAAATTAGTACCATTTGTAGATTGTGTTAATAATTTGAAGAGTTCAAAGGGAATTAAATTTTGATTCCTAAACTTGCTATGTGACGTAGGTATACAGAAAATGAAAACTGGAACAAACTGATGCACAAGACAGAAAGCCTGGCCTCAGCTCAGTATTTTGTTCTATTTCTTTTTATTGTTCTTAATAATACTATTTGAACTTACAGAGTTGGACTTCAAATGGAAAAGCTAGTGAGAATGAGGGAGTTGTTTTGATAGCTTTATATATTTCTTTTTGCTGTTTCCCATCTGGGTCCTTAGCCTTCATGTTCACATATTTCTTAGTTTCAGGGTTTGCAATAATATTCTCTCAGCAAAGTTATTGCTAGATGTGAACTGAGATAGAAAGTTGTGATTCAGCAGCATGATGCAAGTCCATGAGCAGAACCCCAAGTAACGTATACAGGGAAAAACAAAATAATAAAGGTGTTGAAGATTTTCAGTGTTTCTTGGCTTATATGTCAACAAAAGAAATCATAATTTTATCTTCTGTTTAATTCTCTCCTTGTTTATTTATAGTTTTGAAAACCCCGTATAAAGCTTTAGTTCTTTTCAGTCCTATTTGCTAATGAAGACCATCAGCATGAAGTATGTGCATATATGCTGTTTGGAGCATGGAAAGCTCCTGCTGGTGGGCAAGGAATCATGAATCAAACCTGTAAGATTCAGAGGGTTTTGCATATCCTCCAGCTGCCCTTGCTGAAATCCTGCAAATGGCAACAGCCCTAGCTATGGCATTTCCAGTATCTACGTGGCCCATGCCTCGTCTGTGTGTCCCCTGGCTGTCATTAGCTGCATATACCAGCATTTGAGAAATGTGGATAGATGACTTGCTTAATAGCAGGGATTCTCTGGAAATAATAATGTGCCATGTCAAAAAAAAAAAAAAAAAAAGCATAACTGAGTAAATGTCCCTATAAATAGTATCTGAGGACTTTGACACATGGATGAGCAACTGCAGTACCCATGAGACAGCTTTGTCCCTCTCCAAAGGGTGACTCATTCTACTGTGAAGTTCCCTTTGGGTAAAAGCTCAAAAAAGGATACTGGTGAGACAGCTTTGTCCCTCTCCGAAGGGTGACTCATTGGGTAAAAGCTCAAAAAAGGATACTGCTGACAGTCAACAGAACTGCTGACTTGTCTTTGTTACTCTGTGATAACATGTCTATGTGAAACATAGAGAGGTGACATAGAGAGGAATTTACAGAGGTGACTGTAAATTCTTCCTGAAAGTACAAAAAAGGTAGGCCCCTTCTGTGTTTAAGATGAATGTTAGCAGCAAAACTAGATTAAAAAAGAAGTTTCTTTTTTTTTCTTTAACAGATTTTGAATGTCCACAATGTGTTAGTTGTGGTGTCTCGCTGGTATGGAGGTATTCTGTTGGGACCAGACCGTTTTAAGCACATCAATAACTGTGCAAGAACAATCCTTGTGGAATGCAACTATGTGCATTCAGTGGTAAGTTATGACCGTTTAGAGTGAAGGTATTTATATGATAACTTACAGAAACTGTTACTGTTCAGATGAAGCAGGAAGAAAAGCAATACTAAATTTCATCTTCTAGTTGCTTTGATGCATTCATAGTAAGTGTAGGATCATTGCAAAGACTAAGAATAGTTTTCGTTTTTCAGATTACACAAATCATCATTGTTCTCTTTAAAAATTTGTGTATTTTTTCAGTTGTTTGGCAGTGTTGTAAAAAGAGGGAAAAATGAAAAAAACTCTAAAAAACATGATGCTGTTAGATGGTGAGATACCTGTATTATCATATATTTCTTGAAAAGTAGTCTCTTAAAATAAAAGTTTAATAATGAGTTTTTCCCTCCAGTAATGTACAGGTGCAGCTGGGAAAAGAAAGTTTCCTGAAGGCACTGCTAGGAGGAACTCCTGGTCAAGTTGTATATGTAGCAGTATTGTCTTGAAAGATACCAGGGTTTGCTTTAAAGCCATTTCCTTTGACCAGCTTTTTTTCTGCTGTTGTTGTTGCTTCTTTTTAGTTACTGTTTAGCAACAGAGATGATTTTCAGAAATGACAGTCTTAATATTATACCACGCCTTGTATGCGGTCCACTTTAAGATGAAAATACAGCACAGCTGTGCTTTTATTAAAAACTTTCAGAGAAGGAAACCGTGAAGCTGACTGCATGTCCTTGCTGCTACTGCGCCTGCCTCCAGGCAGAGCTGGGAGCTGTCTTTCCGTTCCTGTCTGTAATTTCCCATTGCATTAGGTGGCTTTGAACAGATACAGGTGCCTGCTCTCCGTCTTCCACAGAACCCTTGTCTGAAAGAATACAGAAAATACAGGGAACGAAGTTAGGGAGCTGCTTTGTAAGTGTTCACAGGTGTTCACAGAAGGGTGGCAGCAGTTGAGGGGATCAGTGCACAACCTGAATTTAAGGGTTAGGGGCAGATGGGGGACATAATGTGACTCCTCCTGCACATACCGGGGACTGGCACTTGCTGCCGGGGCTTCTCATGGTTACACAGGCCACCCCTGCCAGTGCTTGTGTGTGTGTGTGTGTGTGCGTGTGTGTGTGTGTGTGTGTAGGCGGACTGAGCTTGGGAATCCCTGTCACCAGTAGGCACTTAGAGTCAAAACTTTCTTAGATCCAAATAAGTTTTCAGAGTTATAGGATAGAACATAGTACAGCTTCATTGACTAACAGAGAAGGCGATGGGTACTATTTAAAAAAAAAAAAAAAGCTAGACTAGGGAAATGCAAACCAATTAGCCTTAACTGTTTCAGCAGAAAGCAATGGAAGAAGTTTCAGAGAGACCTAAATGACTCAGGAGACAAAGTCCCAAATGTCTTTCAATGGCATTTTACCTCCTAAGGGGCATAGGAAATTTAATAAGCTAATATTCCTGTTTTTCAGCATATATCTTCCTCTTTCTCTCAGCAGCATATTAAATATGTGTATGCACATTAAAATACATAATTGCCAGCAAGGTAAAGTTTAAGGTGTAAGGAAATAATTAAAAATGGATTTTTTTTTTAAAAAAAAAATGCAACTGTCTCATGTAAATAAAAGTTGTTAAGGTTGCTGAAAAGGATGCTCAGCCTTCAGCCACAGTTCGTCTGCCTTCACTTATCGGGTACTTTTTGCAGTTTAGAGGCGTCTGCTATGCTTACTGATTGCCCCTTTTTATCACCTGAGCAGTGTTTTTTTTTTGTGTGTGTGTGTGTCTTGATTATACTATAGAAAATTATATGCAATTTTTTAAAGCATTTACTCTCAAGAGGAAGTTTAATATCAGAAATTAATTCTCAATTTTAATTACTTCAGTCACACCATATTTCTTCATTGCATATTAGCCAATATGCTTTGCTATTGGTATCTCTTGGAAAATGAATAGATGGAAGCTACAGTAATGGCTATTTTAGTCCTGTGGAAGTGTTCCTGAGAAAGTATATTTTTAGCTAACTTTCTTCAGAATGGCAAAATTCAAACACCCTGTTAGGGTCTATTCCCATGCCAAGAACAAGAGGGAAGGGTCCTGTCAAGAGTTCTGTGGATTGTAGTGGCAGATTCCTCACTATGCTGGGAAGTGCCCAAGGCGAGTGCTTACTGCATTTAATTAGTGAGCCTAATCTAACAGTATTTTGAAATTCACCAAAAAACCACAAGCAAACCTTATAACTGCAGTCCTTGAAACTCAGAAAGTGCAAATACTCATTCAGTAATTGGTTTTCTCATGTGAAGAAATATCATGTTTTTTAGAATTGACAGTCAGAGTAGGCTACATGATACAATGTTGATGCAGTAAGACTGTAAGAGTTTTGTTTTTCCCAGCGTAGGTTTGTTTTACTTAGGAAGCTGCTTTCAGTGTACGGGTTTATAGTAGTATATCTTCTGATATAGTCATATCCTCACTGGGAGGAGTTTTGCAATATAGTGTGCTAGTTCTCCTGTACTGCTCAGCTCCTTCTTGAGCAGAAATGGCTTAGATTCGTTTTGCATTAGGGGTTTCTGTTGATGTAGGTATGTCAGACAGTGAGGTTAGACCCTGCCCCACTTTCTAGATGTTAAGCTAGTAATTTCAGCCTTGTCGAAGGCAGAAGTTTATAAAATAGCAAGGTAAGCAGCAAAAATAAGGAAACTTTCTGATTAAATACTCTACAATTGTTAAAAATTGTCACGAATACCTGTATATTATGAACACTGTCCATATTCAAGTAAGTTTTATAGACGACCTGGAGATAGTATTAACAGTGTGTAAGAATGTTGGTTTAAAGTTTTGATTTGCTTGTTTTTTATTTCAGGAAGAATCATCTAAACAGGTGGGAAAGAGCAAAAAGATAAAGAAGGACAACAAGAAGAGAACGGAACATTAATTTATTATTAAAAACTTAAAAGAATTACTTTGCACATATTTATAGAAATGAAATATGGACATTATTGCCTTATCTGCAACAGATATTTTATATTCAAAAGAAAAACCAGTAAAGCTATAGATATTTTTTCTTCTTGTTCTGTCATTTCTTGAGCTATTCTGAAGTGGAGATCTTACACAAATGAATTTTCTGCAGTCTACATTTCAACTTCTTGCTACGAAGGGCATCATAGTATCCAGAACCATTTTTCCCCTCAAATAGGGATGATTAATACAATGTCGATTATCTGTCCTTGCTGTTGTTGGGCTAGAACTCAAACATCTGCCTTATACTAAACTGGGACCATAATTTCTTGTCTTGAGGATGAGACTGATTAAGATTGTGCCAGTGACCTGTTTTTTAAAGTTTCCAATACCTAAGAGGAAGGCAGGTGACCTAATGCTATATGTGGTCTTGAAGAGCCTGGTCCTGCCTACCCAGTTCTCAGTCATGCCTAAGAGAACCTGCTCCGTGTCCTTAGGAAGTCTGGACAAGGGTGCTGGACTACAGAAATGTAAAGCTGCTGCTTCTGAATTTCTTTGAGGAACAAACCATGAGTGTTGGGCTCTGGCATCTTGTTAAATAGCTGAGGATAAGTGTCCTGTAACTAAGGAACCAGCAATCCCAGCAAAGAATGTGGAGATTTTGAAATCACACTGATTACAAACACTTACAATAAGATTATTTTTTTCAAATTAATTTCTAAATTTCTTTAATTATCAAGTATTCCAAAGTTTCTGAAGCTTTCATTAGAGTTAATTGTGATAGCTGCAAAAAGAAAAAAAAAAAAAAAAAACCCAAAATGAGTTTTCGGCTGTTCTGTTCCAGCTGCCACTGATTTCACTGCAGTCCTGGTAAATGCGTATTCTCTCTCCAATGAGCACCCTGCCGGTTCCATGTTCAGAACTGACAGGTGATTCTGAAGGTCTTCACTTTTGGATGTTCAGCTGAACACCCTGAAGTATCAACTGAACTTTTTCAGAAGTGTTGATCCTTGTCCAAATCTCATGGTGTAGTTTTGCATAATGGTGAAAATGAAAGCCCCTGAATGAGAGTTTTTTTTGGCAGCCAATCTTTGCCTTAATGAAATAGACTCATACAAGTCCTCCACTTGATAAGCAGAATTAAAATACGATAACTTAGAATGTCTGGCAGCAACCCTCTAGAAGCAGGTCATCAATGTGGAGTGATGTTTACATTTTCACAGTTCTTCTCTTGGTGAGTGTATGATGTGCTTGCCAGCCATCCTTCCTGTGGACACACTTTTTAGAGAGAAGTTGCATTCTCTTCCTTTTTTTTCACTTATAAGCAATTTCTAAGTTTGAACTTCCTTTATTCTAAGAACAAGTTCTACTTGTGGCTTTGCAGAAGAGTTTTGCAACACTGGATTTTGTCTTTACCTTTGAGAGCAATGTCTCAGTATAGCTGGGAATGTTAAGAACCTGTTATTCTTGTACTTCGGTTAGTAGCTGTCCTTCAGGGAATTGGCATCCCATCATTTCACTGAATGCAATTGTTCCTGCTTTGTCACAGGGATCTAGCAGTAGCTCTTAAGTACGGGGATCATAAAATTCAGCACTGACTTAGCTGTTGGAAGTCCTTCAGGTGTGTCAAGAATGTTCTCGTACTGGGACTATCCCCTTCAAGAGGGCACAGAATATTTGCACCTAGAGCAAAAAGCAACAGCTGGGGTATATATTGTAATCCTTGCACTTTCAGAGTTCTCTATAATACATTTGCCATGTTAATAAAGATACCAAGAAACAGTCTTCAGAAACCGGGCCATGAAATATTTTGTGGTTCATTCTTACTGCAGAACACCCGTGCCTTAGGACCTGAAAAACAAAATCATAAGTGTGGCCTCTCTTACAAGCAGTGACCTGGCTTATGGAGCCATCACGCTCTCCATCACAGTGGTGGACACATTTGAACCTTGGATAGACTTGCGTCTCTGATGAACTTTGACAGTGTTGAAATGTATGATTTCGACAAGTATTTTTCAGGAGCCAATGTGTTACTCTTGGCAGATGGAAATGATTAACATCTTTTCATTTAGTAATTTTAGATTGGCACTCACCTATTAAAATAGTGCAGTGAGAACAAAATAGACATAGTGATTTTGATAACCCTGTCATTTTGATAACTACTGCTCATCTGATTTTTATGGTGCTAACAGTTTCTCATTTTTGATTTTGGGTAAAGTTTATGGATTTTAAACGTTGTTTCCTTCAATATGCCTTTATGCAGAGAAGAGAACATTTTGCTTTTTCTCCTATGTATGTCACTGATTTAGCAGGCGTCAGTGGTAACTAGGTTAAACTACTTCATACTGTGAGAATGGATGTTTTTAGTCTGGGTGAACTGAAGTCTGCTGACAGGACATCTGCTTTAGGTTTGACACAGCTCCCTCCTCTACGAGGTTACAGGGATGGGATCAGCTTAGCTTTATGAGGAAGTCTGACCTTTAACCTGGAGAATTTGGTAGGGCTCTCCATATTCCCGTTAAATATATTATGATAAATACAGCTATTCTAAACTCTTACTGTTAAACAATGCAGCAATCTGATCAATGTACCATTGTAAGCTATCATGGTTTAATGTTTTACTGCTGTTTAGCCCAGGAATTGGCAGTGCAACTTGGTGAGGGTTTAAGCTGTATTAATCAAATTTTGTGTTTGTGGACCAGCATGTAGGATGAAGGAAAGAAAAGATTGCTAAAATGATTTGCAACAACTTTAATTTTAAAATTAATATCCTAATACAATTTATACTGTTAATAAGCAAGAACAACAGTTTAACAGTTAAGAAGGTTAACAGTGAATTTCATTTTTGCCAAAGATTATAAGGTGTTTTAAGACAGTTGGTCTCTAATTGTGGAGGAATTATAAGTGTAATTGTTGAAGAAAATAAGAGAAGGACTATAGAGTTAATTCACACTTAAAATACAGTTGCTGGTCATAAAAATATGTCAATAAATAATCAATAGCAGAAAAGGGGGGATTGTCGCTTTCGTCCTTTCTCCCATTCCCTCCTGTCCTGCCTCTGTTTTACAGTTCACATTGTTCTTTGGGGAATGAATTAGAATGCAGCTGAAAGCACATTAGCCATTACAGAAGCCCAGAAGGCTACCAGGTAGTATCAGAATGACTTGTTTTCCATGTTGGTCAAACTGAAATGAGTGGAGCAGCAGCAGGAGTTTATATGTTGTCTCTGATTGGGGGATTTTTTTTAGCAAAATACCTTCCAAAGAACTGCCAGGTGATTTCTGCGTAAAAAAATAAGCTTCTGTAGAAGAGCCTTAATAAATTCAAGACAGCTGAGAAGTGGAAGAGAACTTTGATAGTTCTCTATCTTCATGATAGATAGCTCAGTGTGCTGAGCTGTTCCGAGGAATTTGTTGCCTAGCAAGTTTATTTGAATCAAAATGTCATATATTTTTGTAGCGTATCTTCAAACGCTTTATATGCTCCTCTGACTCCCGTAGAAAATCAGCAATTTATTCAGTATCTACTTAAGGTAGTTTCCTTGCTACACAGTGGGTTTTTAGACTGATTTAATCATAACTGCAGCCACACAACAAAATTCTGCAAGGAAAAAAAAGCTTAATGGATCTGCTATTAAGCTTCACCTATACTGCTGATGATTTCGAAAAGAAATGCTGTTGGTATAGATTATGTTTTGAATGCTAACAAATCAGTTACATGACTTCATGACTTAAACAAAATAGGTCGATGATCTTGGAGGTACATCCACAAGTCGTGGAATGTAACATCAGTGTTTTTAGGTATTTTAAATCTTGAGAAACTAGATGGTTAGCTCCAAGACAAAATTTTGAGGCACGATGATGGAGAGGAATTAGGTACCTGTGTATTCCTAGAAAGCACTCTTGAATTCAAGGCACTCAGGTCATTTTCTTCCCATGTAAAAGTGAAGCTGCTGGTTGCTCAGATGGGATGTATCCTGCCTTCTGCTTGGCTTTGGAGGCTGTAAAATCAGTTTTTTTTCTCAGATAAGCAGTTGTATCTGTCTAGAGGTATGTCAGAGAATGTCTGTCATCTTCTACTGTTGAGTTTATAAATTCGTAAATGCATAATTTCTCTCAGATTTTGAGAAGCTCAGTAAGCTCTGCTTTCCTTTTGAGTGTGAGGAAACAGAAGCAAAGACATCGAGGAAGACGCTAGAGGCTTGCAAGGGAAATCTACTTCAATCAAAAGCAGAGCCCAGAATTTTGATGTTCCCAGGGGATTCTAAGACTCTTAGAATTTATTGCATTAAAACTGATGTTTTAATCCTTATACTAAATTCTTGTATACTAAGGACATGACAAAGGAAAGCAAGAAATTCAAAGGTTGTGGGGTTTTTTGTTTGTTGTTTTTTTAAGAGGTTTTTTCCACATCTTACCTTAGCAAGACACAGCTCATTTGTTATGCATCTGTACGTTAAAGCTATGGTAATCAACATGCTGTATGCTACAAAACTGAGGATGTGGTCACTGTATATGGGGAGCTATTATTTGGGCAGATTCAGCATCGATGTCTTCCAGTTCAGTATCTGAGCACTGAAAATATGGGGTTCAGATACAAGGAGAACGTGGCCATACTTTGGAAAGCAGCCTAAGAGAGAAACAAAAGGTACAAACTGTTATACTGGCTTTTGCAAAGAGCTGAATTCCAGTTCTAAAGTGGAGTAGTTGTAAAGAATATTAGTAACTTAACTGCTACTGTAGCTTTAATGGTTTTGTTATAGATTATCACTAAAGGAAAAAAATGCATTAAAAAAAAAGGATTTTGCTATTACGAGACTAATTTTAACTGTAGATGCTATGCACAATGGTTGCCAGCATTTTTATAAAAGTTTATTCTGGCTGAGCACAGTTTGGATCTATGGTGTTTCTGCTTTTGAATTTTTTTTACTGTAGTTAGTGAAGCTTTTGGGAAATTGTAACAAGTGCTTTTCTTCCAGGACTGGTGGCTGTATGCCTATCCATGACAGGAGCCAGTCTTTACAAAGCCCAGCTGCTCGAACTGACATCTGTGCCCTCTGAGGGGCAAGTTAGGAATTGAGAGCATGACCCAAAATTCCCAGTGCTACCGAACACCTAAGGGCATAGATCTCCCAGCTTCTGCAGTCGAAAAGGGAGGTGGTGTTGGCTGGTATGGAGAGTCCAGTGCAGAACCCCTCCTGACTGAGGACACTCGCACGTCTATAGAAAGGAAACCTCTTATGTGCTTTCCTGGTGGGATAAGGAACTAGGGCCATTTATGGGCACCCAGTTTTGTGTGACAACTGCCCTAGGCTTTCTTAGCATGGGACTGTCACTTTGAATGAGCTGTGAATGAGCTAATGAGGAGAAGGTGACACCAACCAAAAATCACAGATTCTATCGGTTGTGAGGAAAGAGAGCGTAAGTATGACATGTACATTTTTATATATGATCTGTTTTTTGGCTGTGTCTGTGGCAGATTTCTTGATATTCATTGGATTTGCATGCAGAGAAGCAAACACAGATGGGACAGTTACTCTTCTTAGAGACCCTTAGAAGCACTGTAATGTCTTTTATTATCAATGTAATGCAGAAACAAAAGTTCTTGGTGTAAGTTACTGTTTAGAAGATGAAATGAATTAAGTGAATGCAATTTCTGATGCCATATTGGTACCTCGAGCTACAAATCGCCCTGAGCTACGCAAGGAGAGCGTATAAATAAAACTGTGTCTTGCTCTGTTCTCACTCCCTTCTACCAGCTGTTGATTGCTGATGCACACAGGATATGGACTTAGCTGAATCCGCAGTTCGACCTGACTTGTTCACCACTCTTTTTTTTTTCAACCTCATAATAACTGTCAAAAATTTACAACAGGTTTAATACAGTAGCATTACTTAGTACCTTTTGCCAAAGTGTGTTTTCAGCCTTTTCAGCATTACCTGGAGATGAAATAAAACTTAAAGCAAAAACAGACATGTACACTGTGCGGATATTTCTGTGGATAATAAAGCTTTGCATTTCTGTACTGATGCCATGAAAACATTTTGCAGAAGAACTTAACAAATGCTAATGAACATGTTCCCACACGAGGAGGCTACAAATGTGAATATCTTAAACACCAAAGCGTTTTTAGGACCTGCAATAATTTTTTTTTAACTATTCTGGAATAATCAGACCTCTCTGCAAATGGTGTCAATATTCATACAAACTCTAAGCAATTGCAGAATCATTCTTCCATCAGTGTAAAGAGAAAGGCCTAACCCTATTAAAGTTAAAAGCTCCCATTCAGGGAGCGTGTATTTTGTTCCTTGCTTCAAGCAACTGGTGCTGTGTCACTGTGGTGGGTAAGAGTTTTACAACTGATTTCAGTGAGAGTTTTGCAACCAACTTCTGAGGATTGCACCATTACCATTGCCATGGTAAGTAACTGTGTTTACAGTGTAATAGTTTTCAGCACTAGGATCTGCAGAAAAAGAACCAAAAGAGAAATGCTGATTATGCCTTTGGATGGCAAAAAGCATGCAAAATAATACCCAGAGACCACAGACTTAGTGAAATGTACTGTCCCTAGATAAATGAGGATAAAATCAGAAGTGTAATATAAAGTCTCATAAGACTAGGTACCCCAGAATAAGAGACAACTTCTAGAAAAAGTTGAGGTCTATAATGCTAACAAGCAAAACACTTCAAGACAGAGAGAGAACATGAGAGAAGAATGAGAGGAGGATGAGAGGGAATATTAAAGCAGCCCTGCTGACTCTACTGATAAAGATCATGTTGCATAAGGAAGAGCTTACATTTTAAGATATGAGCTTGAAAACACTACATATTTCTTACTGGTAACTCTTACAGTTTCAGATGAATTTCTACTTATTAAAATTACAAAATCATAAGGCAGAAAAATCTTGCACCAGAACTCTTTAATTCCCTCCCCTCAGTCTGTTGGGGAGACTTTCTGGTCTGGCCTCTTGATGTTCCTTGCATTACGAATGTTCCTTACAGGTTACAAATCTTACCCTTTTGGCTCAGCCTACGAGAGGTGAGTTTCTTCCCGGAGAGAAGTGACCTGGACACGCAGCATGCTCAACAGCACCGCCGAAGCTCTGCCGACCACGACAATATGCAACAGGACGGCGTCCTCACAGCCATCCAACTCACAGTTCTCGCTGGGAGTGCTGGTGCTCCTGGCTGTCCTCATGGTGCTGCTCGCTCTGGTCACCATCCTTGGCAACGCCTTGGTGATCCTTGCTTTCCTACTGGACAGAAACCTCCGGCATCGGAGTAATTACTTCTTTCTCAATCTTGCGATTTCTGACTTTGCAGTGGGTAAGTTGCAAGGGTGGAGGCATGGAGTGTTTGTTCCTTTGCAATGTTAAGAGAAGCCAGGAAGTATTTTGCTGGGTGGTTTCTTCAAAGATCAGTATTTCCCGGCTGTGAGTCCAGGGAAAAGATAAGGAATGTGGAAACTTCGTTAAGTGTTTTAGTAGTCTGTTATTTCTCAGAAATATTTTATCATATGCAAAGCCTTCTTTGTTAGATAAATACATATTGTTTAATGCTATTGCTTCAGGAAAACAATGCTACACGTACGAGTTGATTCTGAGTAAGGAAGAGGGGGAATTGTTTGTGACTAGTTTGCAGTAAAGCCCAGATACTTAAACTGAGCCAAGTATATATTAACTGATGAGTTTTGCATACATTGTTGTTATCTTTTAGTTTGTTGTACTGCGATACAATACTGATGATTACCTAAAGTTTCCCAGTGAAGAGTGATTATTATTTTTAAACATTTTATTGTACATGGCTTTACCTACAGTCATAACTTAGGAACAGGTAAATAAAAATAGCAAAATAAAAATAGGAAGTTTGATTATTAGGGTGCATATTTTTATATATGGACACAGTTACTTTTGAAATTGTATTGAGAAAAAGTACAGTTAAAATGTTAGCATGATGTGCGGTTGGAGATTGACTAATGTACCGATATTTTCTATGAAGTCTTGCATACTCTATTAAAAGTGTTGGTTAAATTATCATATAGGCAGAAGAATAGTTTAAAGCAAGTGTGGATATATCACCAAATCTATATTCGGACTTACTGCATGACAAACAGACCTTTTAATAATTGAAACTGTTTTCATTCTACGCTTTTTATGTTGTGTACATCTAAAAAGGACACTGAAAGAGTAGAAGACACTGTTTTCAAGTTTATAGTCACAGAGCCAGTATCAGAAATGTTGTTATGTGCAAGGCTTTTAATATTCCAGTCTTCATGATATCCAGGTCCATGATACTCTGATATACATGGATATCCATATCCATGATATTCTGTACAATATTTTGACGCCTTCCCCTGTATGGACAACAACTTCCCTGAGTGTGTCCTTGCCTTGTGGTGCTGCAGAGATTGCTCTCTGCTCTTTAGCGCATCCCAGGATGAGGACCTGCTCTCTGCTAGACAGTGACCGGTCTGGCTCTAAAACAGCATGGGCCTCGATGTGGAAATGGCAGCACTCTGAGTGCCTATGTAGGTGCTGCTGAGTCAAAACATTGAAGAGCAGACGAGTCAGAATTCAGACCTGTCCCAAGGCTGGAAGAGTTCTGCACATGCAATTTTGAATCTGTTGTGCCCCGGCCCATGGCATATTTGAGTCTCTCCTCTTCCATTCGCAAACCCTGTCCATGTCCCAGGTGCAGAAGCTTTTCATCCCAAGCACCTCTTACCCTGTTGCAGAGGGATGTTATATAGTCGGCAGAGAAACACCAGCCGTGAACAGAAAACCAACCAGTCGAGCAGTGTCTGCCATGCTCACAGTCCAACACTGCACTGAATAAGCAATGGCATCTAGCTGAGAAGGGGGAAGTAAATAGTTTCTCCTTGCAAAGGAAGTTGTACGGCTTAGCATTGCCTAACTCCTGCCCTTCAACAACTTTTGCTTTACCTCTCTTCTTCTGGACCTATAACATATAGCATATGAACAAAGATCTCTTAATTTTTCGTAGAGAGAGAGAATAACAAGAACTGTAACATTTTTAGAGAAATAGGAACTCTCAATAATCCTCAGTACCTTTGGCATTAGAGAACACTATTTTGAAGTGCATCTAAAATTGAAATAATCCTCCTCTTTTTTTTTTCTGTGAATGTTAAAACATATACTATACCCTTCTGAGTGAAGAAGCAAGTATTATTTGCTCTACAGATGCAGTGATACCATTTTACTGCAGCACCGATGCTGTCCATCCTTAGGGCTCACTGCTCTCTGGTACAGCAAACTACTCTGTAAGCTCTTCAGGCTTACAAGTTTGTAACTGCGGCTCTAATACAGTCACCTAGAAAATCATTAAAATTGGCACTTTCACAACATTTGGCTGTTGATAGCTTAAATTTAGGTAGCCATTGGTGCCGATCACTCATGTATGTTTTCACAGCTTCTTGTGTTCCTACAAATAATATCCTATCAGTTCACTGCTGAAAAGTGGTTATGGTCAAGGGCATATTATCAGAAGTGTTAGACAACATTTTTAATTAATCATGCAGTTCTTTTTAGCTTTTTGCTTATATAATTTGAAAGATTAATGTGAAGTCCTCTTTGTATTTCTATAACAGTAAATTCTGGAGTATTTTCAGACACCTTGTCATGCTTGTTTTGTGAGAGAATATAAGTATGACAGACTGTATTAAGTAGAAACCAGTTAGTAAATTACACCAGAAGGAAAAAAAAATCTTTTCATTTGAATTTCAGTGCCTTAATACAGCGTAGCGTTTACTATAGCAGCCAAAGCAAAGGCAGTTGCTTTGTCTTTTATCAAGCGATGTAAATTTGGGAGGTGATGCTGAACATGATATGCTTTCAAAAATATTTGACTCGTGTCTAGTACGCAGTAAAGTGTTCATTGTCTGCATGAGAATACAAAGCCTTCTGCGTGGAAATCCCAATCTGAATAACTTTGTTTTTTTATCAGACAATGCAAAGATGTTCCAGTGCTTTCATTAGCACTGCCTGCAGCGCTGCCTATGACATGTTCATTTGGTTTATTTCCATAGGTGCTTTTTGTATACCTTTGTACATCCCTTATGGCCTGACAGGGAAGTGGCACTTGGGAAGAAGCCTGTGCAAGCTCTGGCTAGTTATGGACTATCTTTTGTGTACAGCTTCAGTGTTTAATATTGTCCTTATCAGCTATGACCGTTTCCTGTCAGTTACGAAAGCTGTAAGTAGAACATTTCTAATTATTTATATATATATAAAAATAGATATTTTAACTTATTTAAAACTCTTTTTTTTCCAATAATACTAAAAGATCAATAGCCCTTCATTGTGGGGATTAAAAGTTTGAGTGGAAATAATTCAGCTCTTTGAGAGCAAAGCTGGGAAAAGTTCTTTATTCTGAAAACACTAAAGTGTTTATTATTGTACTTTTTTTTTTTTCTGGAGAAACTTTGGTGCTTCTGGCCCATTTTTTAGCAGATAGGTTGCTGTAGGTATGCCTTTTCCTAGCCTGTAAAAATTTGCCTAAATATGCAAGTTTTCAAAAACTTTGTAGAGACTTAGTAGAGGTGGGCAACTTTCAAGATTTTTTTCATGCTTAAGCTAGATATACTAGAAATAAGATGTTTTCTATCCATTTTCTGGCTGCTGAACATGCTGTGGTACTGAAACATGGGGAAATGAGAAGGTCTTGCTTGAGTTTTTGGTGTTCCCCTGCAGCTGCTCACATGAGAAGCTGCCTAATTACAGTACAGAGGAGGTGGAGGTCAAAGCGAGAAAGTAGGTGGTGTGGAGGACTTGGGCTTTGGTTGTTAAAAGAGTGGTAATTAAAAGTAGGTTAAGTCAAGGAGGTGCCTGAGTTTAGGCTAATTTCTAAAAGGAGAAGGGGGTATGGAGAGAGACGTGGGAATGGATTGGCTGGAGAACATACAAGGTGACTGATGTGCTACCAAACAAGCACTGGGATGGAAACAAATCCTTGGAGGTGAAAACAATAATAGATAGAAATGTGCAGTGGAGGAGGAGGTATTTCTTGAGTTTTATCATCCTCCTGCATCCGAAGATACCTGGGGAATCTACAAGTAAATATCAACATTCACCATTTCTAAGCTCTTACCTGATGTTCAGCCCAGAAGGAAGATGGGCATCCTTTGCTGATAGCCGTCTGTTAGCGCAAGTGGCATGTGCTGTGGGGTAGATCTGGAGCTTCACATTCAGAAAGTGCTGATAAGAGGCCTTATCTCTGTTTTTTCCCCCAGTGTTATGGTTTTGAGTTTTTGTTTATGTTTTTGTTGCTGATGCTACCACTGCTGTTGTTTTAAAGCTGAACAATCAGGTGCAAAAATTCCTGTGTTTGAGAACTAGTAATATTGAGGAATATTAATATTGCTGCAGAATTCATAACATGAGAAGTGTTAATTAAGAAAGTGTCTGTAACCCAACTGGGCCCATGGTCGTATGCATTGATGACAGTTTTAATGACATGATCGCATTCTGTTTTCCTCCTCTGTGTTATTAGGATGGAGTGAATCTGGGAGTATGCAACTTAGGACTGTTACCCAAAAGATACCATGGTTCCTTATGGACTTGGGATCTTCCCCTGCACCTGCTGCAGAGCTAGCACGTGGTCAGGGCCCAGTCAGATTAAACTTTTAATGAAGCAGCAATGAGCTTCCTGTTTTCTGCCTATTAGCTGAGAAGCCTTTGGTCTTATTGAAAATTCATAATTGCAGTTGATATGAACTGGAGTGCTGCTTTGAGACAAAATGGTGCTGTAAGATGTAAAATACTGACACTTCAGGCTACAAATGTTTACAATATGGAATCCAAAATAAAGCCTGTAACACGTTCTCATTGCTTCGTTATTCAGTAGTAAAATAGGGACAGTCATGTCCGTAATGCCTTATGCTGTGAAGAAAGCATTCAATAATATTTGGGTAGCATGCAGATGCCATACTAATAAATAGCGTAGGAATTTCAGTGAGGAAGATAATAGTTCTGGATCTCAGTAAAGCCTGAGATTACAAATACTGAACAGTGTGGAGGAAATAAACATTGACTAGCTTCTCATTAACTGATCATCCCGTGCTTTGAAAGATACAGGGGCCAAGAGCTAGAAGTATGTATTATTCTTACATGGGCTGTTAGAAGGGTGGTATTAATTCTTGCCTGTCCTAACTTTGGATGATATAATTTTAATTTTTAATATTTTTAAAAAACAGATATTTATTCATGGCTAGACAGTAAGATAAATTAATACAATCTGGGTAAATTAATGAAATCTGGGTAGGCAAAAGAACTTCAACATTTGCAGTAGAAAAAGACCTGTTTGCAAGGTAAAGTGAGTGTTAGAATGTTTCAATAAAGTAAGGACTATTAAAGCATATGTGTGGGATAGATTTTCTTTTGTGGTAGGAGGAAATAATATTAACAATTCAATTTTCTACTGTTTGCAGTCTTTCTTGTCAGTCTGTCTACTGTAGAGAACCTCTACTGTTGCCAGTGCAGGGAGGAAGTCCCATAACTGTCTTCACTCTACTTGAAGATTAAAGATTTCTTGAATCATAAACTGATTATTAATATTTCTTTACTGTGGTGGTGAAGAAATCAAACAATATCCTTTCCCCTAGGTTTCCCCTGGATTTCAGGATTATCATAATTTATGTGCCCCTTTCCAATCCCGAATAGTAAAATCAATCACAGAACTACAGTATTTCATGACCAAGATTAATAGAGCTTTTCAGGACTGTACAGAAGTGATGAGCTTCTGGGTGTCTGGGGAACTGCAGAACAAAAAGTATACATGAGTTATTTACTTTTTATGAGCTGTTTGTTCCAAAATGCTGTATGAAGGAGCGATGTGTCCTTTGCTTCTCACAGGTGTCCTACCGAGTGCAGCAGGGAGCAGCCTCCAGCCCCGTTGTGAAGATGGCGGCCATCTGGGCCTTGGCCTTCCTGCTCTACTGCCCGGCAGTTCTCTTCTGGGAGCTCGTGGCCGGCTGCAGCGTGGTGCCGCCGGACGAGTGCTACGCCGAGTTCTTCAACAACTGGTACTTCCTGCTGTGTGCCTCCACCGTGGAGTTCTTTGTGCCACTGGTCTCTGTGACCTATTTTAATGTGCACATCTTCCGGGATATCCATAAGCGCCAGAGACGTGGCAGCGTGTTGGACAGTGAGCCGCCCAAGAGCGGTAAGCGCCAGAGACGTGGCAGTGTGTTGGACAGCGAGCCGCCCAAGAGCGGTGGCCTGTCTTGGAGATTTTGCCTCCTGCCAAGGCAAGGCTTATCTTCTTCGGAAGCAGAGGACAGCGTTTCATCATTAAGTAGGTCGTGGAAACTGGCAGGTTCTTCTCCAACACGAACCAACTCCATAATCATCAAAAATGATTCCTCTGCTTCTTTCCGTGTAAAAAACAGATCAAAACTGCAACGGGATAAGAAAATTGCAAAGTCACTTGCCATAATTGTGTGCATCTTTGCCATTTGTTGGGCCCCGTATACGTTACTAATGATAATTCGTGGGGCCTGCCAAGGAACCTGTGTCCACAACTCCTTGTATGAAATAACCTTTTGGCTTTTATGGCTCAATTCATCTTTGAATCCATTTCTCTACCCTCTCTGCCATATGAGATTTCGAATGGCTTTTGTTAAAATATTATGTCCCAAAAAGTTTGCAACATTAAGATCACATGACACACCTTCTTTTTAGAGATTTAAAGCAAAGGACTTACAGATAATATTTCTCTCTTACTTGCTACTTTTTTAAAAATATTTTCAGCAGAAATATAGGAAAAGCTTTTGTTCATTGATGGTGTTGTCTGAGAGTGCAGCAGAGGCGTGTACTTTCCCTGATTTTGTTGTTTGTTTTCACTCGTGTTGTGACAAGATAAACATGATCTAGAGCAAAGAAATGTATAAAAACATTTTATTTGGTTTCCTTTGTGGGTTGTTTGTGGATTTGAGTTTCTCTCTCTCGCTTCCCCCACCCTCTCTTCCCCCTCCCTTCCCCCCATTCC